CCATGGACGCAGAGATGGCCTCCTACAGATCCACAGGCACCTACGTCGATGAGGTTCCCCCTCCGGGGGCGAACGTAGTTGACGGCATGTGGATCTACAGGGTGAAGCGGCCACCGGGATCTCCTCCGGTCTTCAAGGTGCGCTACGTGGCTAGAGGTTTCAGTCAGCGCGAGGGAGTTGACTTCTTTCAGACCTTCGCGCCCACCCCGAAGATGACCACTCTTCGGGTGTTACTACACGTAGCAGCACAGAGAGACTACGAGTTACACTCTCTCGACTTCTCTACTGCTTTCCTTCAGGGCAGTCTTCACGAGGAGGTCTGGTTGCGTCGTCCCTCTGCCTTCACTGGCTCTTTCCCTCCTGGGACCTAGTGGAGGCTGAGGCGACTGGTTTACGGTCTTCGTCAGGCTCCTCGTGAGTGGCACGACACCCTGCGTTCTACCCTGTCTGACCTTGGGTTCCAGCCGTCTTCTGCTGACCCGTCGCTGTTCGTTCGTCGTGGCCCCACACCTTTCTTTGTTCTGGTCTACGTTGACGACCTTGTTTTCGCCACCCCTGACATGGTTGCTTTGGCACACGTGAAGTCCGAACTGCAGAAGAGACACACCTGCACTGATCTTGGTGAGCTGCGCCACTACCTTGGCCTGCAGATCACCAGGGACAGAGCTGCTCGCACCATTACACTTTCACAGTCGCACATGGTGCAGCAGGTCCTTCAGCGGTTCGGGCTTCAGCACTCCACAGTACAGCGCACACCTCTTGCTGTTGACCACAGACTCACTGGACCCTTTCCTGACGAGCCGTTCGAGCCTAGTGGTCCCTACGCAGAGCTTGTGGGTTGCCTCATGTACCTGATGACTTGTACTCGCCCGGACCTCGCCTTCCCTCTCAGCGTTCTTGCGCGCTTTGTTGCGCCAGGGAGACACCGTCCTGTTCACTGGACAGCAGCTGTGAGGGTGGCGAAGTACCTAGCGACGACGTCAGGCGTGGGGCTAGTTCTTGGAGGGCAGCAGTCTGTCGTACTTACTGGTCACTGTGACTCCTCTTACGCTGACGACGCTGAGACTCACAGGTCTACTCAGGGGTACTGTTTCAGCCTGGGTTCTGGAGCTGTTTCCTGGCGGTCCACGCGCTCCTCTTCGGTCTCGACCTCTACAGCTGAGGCTGAGATCTACGCTGGTGCCATGGCGGCACAGGAGCTGCGTTGGTTGACCTTCTTGCTCACCGACCTTGGTGAGCGGCCGAGCTCTGCACCGACCTTGTTCACTGACAACAAGGCGTCTATTCTCCTTTGTCGAGAGCCACGACTGGAGAGCAGAGTGAAGCACATTCACGTCAGGTACTTTCTTCTGCGAGAGTTGCAGAGGCGTGGACAGGCTCGCTTTGAGTTTGTGGAGTCCGAGGCCAACACTGCAGACATCTTCACCAAGGCGCTTCCGCCTTGTGACCACCAGAGGTGCTGTGTGCAGTTAGGCCTTGTTGACACTGGTTCTCGTGTTGCTTAGGCTTGAGTGTACTGTTTACTTTGCTTTCTATATACCTCTGTTACTTCTTGGACTGGCCTTGTGGCCACTGTTGTTTCTGCTCAGACTGTGTGGTGACGTTGTGATCCACCCTGAGCTTCATTTCTTGGACTGGTCTTGTGACCGTACTCGTTTGGTTCTGCTAGACACCCCTCACTTAGGCTATGGGGGTGTGTCAAATGTTGTAGCCTATAGTGAGGTTTGTCTTAGGGGGTACAAAACTTAGGGTTAGCTATATGTACCCCAACCAACATCAATGCATCATCCATTCCTCATTCTGACTCATGAGCCCACCGAACTACGGTAGCATTTACCGTATTCCCCCTGATAGAAGACCCCCCAAAAATACAACACCCCCGGGTACCTAATACGGGGGGGGTCTTTTATTAAACCTCGATTTCGTTATACCCCCCTTTGGGGGGTGATCAACATAAGACCCCCCTCTTTCCCCTATAGGGGGATTTTTCCATGTACTTTTCATTTTTCTTTTTGTAATTGGGGCATTCTATAGTGCGAATTCGGCTTTCCGGGGGCTGATATTCTGCCTTGATATCATCAGTGTGCAGAGTGACATGCATCCCTTTCGTGCGGGAGAAAATCGAGCTGCCTACGTTCAATACGAGCGTCAACGAGTTTTTTCATTTCGCCTACGCTTGTCGCGAATGCAAAACTGCCCAGACTTGTGATGACTTCTAAGTTCTGGGCCCAGAGCAAGCGATTGTCCTGCCCGCCGCCCTTATCTTGTTGGTGGCGCGGCGCGCACTCCTCCTCCTCACCACCAGCGGCTCCAATGCACTCCCGGTACTCTAGAGACTCTTCTTCACATCCATCCATTTCCACACACCCTTCGTTGCACAAGCAGGAGGAAACGTTCGCGCGGCTATCATTGTTCGCAAAGTTTGCGTCTCAGCATTTCTCGCTGGCCCGAGAGGAAAGTCAGTCGTTCACCGCGCATTCTGTGAACTTGTTTTGATCTCTTGACTCACACTGGGTCACACGGACGGAATCAATGGCGGCTCGTATCGTTAACCCGAGGGATGCTCAATCGTCCCTGCTGCTGCTGCTCGCAATCATGCTGCTCCCGTGGACCGCGAATCTCGGCTCCGATCACGGCGGCTTTCAGCTAGCGGCGGCGCAGACGGACTGCCCGCTGATTGGTCAGGGCATCGACCCGTACACGGCGGGGATCGTATCGGAGAAGCCGAAAGTGTTTCTCTCCGTGCAGCTCAAGAAACTCGTCACCGTCGACGGTGAGCCGTACAAGTACTAGTACCCGCACGACGCCGCTGCTTGCACTTGGACGCATAGCGTGCGCGCGGTCATCCAATCCTTTCTTCCACCCCTACACGTGCAAGGGGTCATTACACAACCGTCGTGTGACACACAACCACCCACACACACCCCAACAACCATCCCGTCCCTCCATGTGCTTCCTCGCCCCTCCCCCCCCTCCCCCTACAGCCGTGAAGTACAGCTACATGGCGTATTTCCAAGTCATCTCCACGTGGCGCGACCCTCGAGGTGCGTTTCGCCCTCCGCTCTTCTGCTGCTGCTTGTCTCGCGCCGCACAACGTCCCATGTTCCGCGGTTCACATCCATGCCGCCACGTCAGTTTGTCGTCCTTCTCTCGTGTGAGCTCGTCGCACCAGCGCCGTGCTCTGAGCTCGCAACACGCAGCACACAGCACGCGATTGTAAATGACTAAGTCTGTCTCATTGCCCCCCTCTGCCTCTGCCTCTGCCTCTGCCTCTGCCTCTGCCTCTGCCTCTGCCTCTGCCTCTGCCTCTGCCTCTGCCTCTGCCTCTGCCTCTGCCTCTGCCTCTGCCTCTGCCTCTGCCTCTGCCTCTGCCTCTGCCTCTCTCTCTGCCCATGCTTGCTTGCGTGCGTGCATGCGGACACCAGTGAACGACACGCTGGCGATAAACAACGCGGTGAACGCGTTTGGGCCGGCCATCACGGGACTGGCGACGGCCAAGTGCAAGCTGGGCGTGACGTTTTCGGGGTTCAACATAAGCCAGAAGGACGAGTGTCTGAAGACGCCGAAGCAGAACAACCTGCCGCAGATGGACGGCTGCAACAAGCCATGCTCGCCGTCCGGCACCACCTGCTGCGACGCCCTCTGGATCCCCTCGCTCACCATCGACAACGTCCTCTTCTACCCCCAGGACCGCTTCCAAACTGGTAAGACCGCTTCCAAACCGGTCAGCCCTCTCCTCTTCTACCCCCAGGACCGCTTCCAAACCGGTGACCGCCCCCGCTACCGACCTCCCGAGCTGCTTGGCCCTCTCTCTTGCAATGCACCTCGTCCGCCGCCTACAGATGATGACCGCATCGCATCTACCTGTCTTCTCATCACCCAGTCGGCCTTATCGTCCCATTCTTTTGGAATCTCCTTTCTTCCGGCCTTCCTCCTCGCGGCCTTCCTGCTTCTTCCTCCCAAGCCTCACTCCCTACCCTCCCCTCACCCCCTCATCTCTTTCTCTTTCTCCTCTCTCCCTCTCCCTCTCCCTCTCCCTCTCCCTCTCCCACCCACCATCCCACCCACCATCCCCCCGCCCCCCTCTCTCCCAGAGAGCATCTATTTCTTCGGGCAGTACAGCAACGAGGCCAGCGCCATCGACAGAGAAGTCGTCGTTGGAGGTGCTCCTCTCCCTCCAATCCCCTCCTCTCCCCTCCTCTCCCCTCCTCTCCCCTCCTCTCCCCTCCTCTCCCCTCCTCTCCCTCCTCTCATCTCCTCTCTCTCCACTGCCTCCTCTCCCTCCACTCGTCTCCTCTCTCCTCCTCCTCTCATTCCTCTTCCTTCCTCTCTCTTCACCCCCCTCCTTTTCCTCCACTCCCTCCTTTCCCACCTCTCCCCTATGCTTCCTCCTCTCCCCTCTTTTTCCCTCCACTCCCCTTTTCTCCTCCTTCCCCTATCCTTCGTTCCTCCTTCCAACCCCCGTTGCTTCTCTATGCACCCCTCCCCTGGCCATGGTTCTCTCTCCGTCTTCGTCCATTCGTTGGCCAAAGCTTGCCCTCGCTCTTTCTCTTCCGTAAATCCCCCGCACGCCAGAAACCATCATCAGCAGTGCTGCGTCTGTGCGTGCGTGCGTGCGTGTGTGTGTGGGGGATGTGTGCGTGCGTGCGTGCGTGCGTGCGTGCGTGCATGCGTGTGTGTGTGCGTGTGCCCATGCTTGTCGATGTGCGCGTGTGTGTCCAACAGGCGAGTTCTCGTCACCCCTCAGCTTCAAGAAGTTTCCTCTTGACTCTCAGGTTTGTTTCTCACCTCTATCCTCTTGTCCTGCCTTTGCTCTCACTTCCGCTTTCTTGGTTGGTCCTACTTACACACACACGCACACACACACCTGCATGCACGCCTGCACGCGCGCGCGCGCGCGCGCACACACACACACACACACACACACACACACACACAAGAGACCCCTCCCCTAAATGTACCTCTGTCCCTACCTCCGCCCCTCGTGCATGACACGGCAGACGCTGCGGCTGAGCATTCAGGTGCAGAGCGGCGAGTTCTACCTGGTGGGGAGCAACTCGGGACGGCAGTCGGAGCAGGGGGGCGGGCAGCTGGGGGGAGGGGGAGGCACGTACGTGAATGATGAGGTCACGGGCTGGAAGATCAACGATGTGGCTCTCAACTGCACTCCCGCCCAAACCACCGTCTCCACCTCCGCCACTTACCATCCTGGTAACCACCTCTACCCTTCTGGTAACCACCTCTACCCTTCTGGTAACCTCCACGTAACCTCCTGGTAACCATTGCCACTTATGATGACTATCACCACTTTAAGTACCTGTTTCTTCAACTTATTAACCCAGGGTTATGTCCTGTGCCATGTGTGTTGCCATGCCATGCATGTTGTGATGTGTGCTTCTATATCCGTTGAGCTGTGCAGATGACCCCTGGTACACATTCACTCAGAACTCACCGGCAGACAGTGGCAGCAGCAGCAACGTGAACGAGTCCACATCGTGTGTCTTCACCATCAAAATCTCCCGCACCAGTGGCGTCTTCATCATCTCGGTACGCCCCACCCTCTCCCCACGCCTCTCATCTCCCCGATTCCTTCCTTGTCACCATCACCACCTGCGTCATTGCCATCCACATCTCATCTTTCCATCGCTACTGCTGCCTGTCTAGTACCTCTTCTCCTCTCCTTTCCTCCTCCTGCTTCTCCCATCCTTCCCCTTGCATATCTGGCATCTTCAAATATTCGTCCCTTGCATGTGTGAACCCTTCCCGTCCCTGTCAGATCGTGGTGCCAGTGATGCTCAGCGTGTATCTCTGCTTCTCTGTCTTCTTCGCTAAACCTGACGACCTGGAAACTCGGTCCGCCACCTTTGTCACGCTCTTCCTCGCCCTCGCAGCCGTGCAGTTTGTCATCGACAGCCAGGTCCGTGCATGCGTGGTTTGCTGCCTGGCTGGTTGGCTCGGTGGGTGGGTGGGTGGGTGGGTGGGTGGGTGGGTGGGTGGGTGGGTGGGTGGGTGGGTGGGTGGGTGGGTGGGTGGGTGGGTGGGTGGGTGGGTGGGTGGGTGGGTGGGTGGGTGGGTGGGTGGGTGAGTGTGAGGGTGGGTGGGTGAGTGTGAGGTGGGTGGGTGGGTGCGTGCGTGGGTGGTGGGTGGTTAGGGGGCTGGCCTGCTGGCTGGGTTGGTGCGTGGGTTCGTGGGGTGGGTGAGTGGGTCTGGCTTTGCATCGCCATGGTTCCATTCTGCAGCTGACAGCGTGAGCACTGTAGCACTATGTTCACTCGATTCTCACAGGGTGAGCACTTTGCATGCTTCACATGGTGCGTAACAAACAACACCTCACCACCAGCACTCCCCAAGCAGCAAGCCCTCTCGTCCTCCCTTCACTACATTCCCGTCATGTAATCGCCTCAAGACCTTCGATTCCCTGCCAACTAAATCTCTTCATCTTCTTCCTTCCTTCATTCCCTTCCTTCGCTCCTCCCCTCATCATTCCGCTTACCCCCTGTACTCTCCCCCGGCCCCACCCCCTCTCTCCCAATGCAGCTGCCGCGCTCATCAGTGATGACGCAGTTTGGCTATCTGGTCATCATCTCATACGTCTTCATCGGTCTCACCGCCGTGGAAACACTCATCGTCTACCTCATCGCCGAACGGGTCAGTCACCCCTGCCCTGCTTCTTCCTTTTTCTTTCTTACTTTTTCTGGATGCTATACACATAAATCGTTCATATGATAGCCAACCTCCTGCTGGAGGAGGCTGGCAGCAAGTACTTGGTACTTGGTTCATAAATGTAATCAACCTGGTACTTGGTTCATAAATGTAATCAACCTGGTACTTGGTTCATAAATGTAATCAACCTGGTACTTGGTTCATAAATGTAATCAACCTGGTACTTGGTTCATAAATGTAATCAACCTGGTACTTGGTTCATAAATGTAATCAACCTGGTACTTGGTTCATAAATGTAATCAACCTGGTACTTGGTTGGTTCATAAATGTAATCAACCTGGTACTTGGTTCATAAATGTAATCAACCTGGTACTTGGTTCATAAATGTAATCAACCTGGTACTTGGTTCATAAATGTAATCAACCTGGTACTTGGTTCATAAATGTAATCAACCTGGTACTTGGTTCATAAATGTAATCAACCTGGTACTTGGTTCATAAATGTAATCAACCTGGTACTTGGTTCATAAATGTAATCAACCTGGTACTTGGTTCATAAATGTAATCAACCTGGTACTTGGTTCATAAATGTAATCAACCTGGTACTTGGTTCATAAATGTAATCAACCTGGTACTTGGTTCATAAATGTAATCAACCTGGTACTTGGTTCATAAATGTAATCAACCTGGTACTTGGTTCATAAATGTAATCAACCTGGTACTTGCTGCCAGCCTCCTGCATGACAGCTTGGCACGAGAGCAAGCCACAACCACACGCATACATCCCCTCCTCGCCGTTTCCCCAGAGAGCCGGCCTGCCTCTTTCACCTTTTGTTGTGTCGTTTGACGACTTCCCATGCGTGCTCTATCTTGAGATTCGTCATTGCACTTGCTTACTGTGCCGCTGCGTACTGCATCATGTACCACTGTTTACCACTCTGTGCCGCTGTGTACCGCTGTGTGCAGCTGGAGAAGGACGTGGTGGAGACAGTGGGGGACATGGCAGCAGCAGCCAAGCGCTCCACGCAGAAATCCCGTGCAGAATTAGAACCAGAGCCTGAGACAGAGACAGAGACAGAGACAGAGGCAGAGGCAGAGCCCCAAAGCCCACAGAAGGTGGTGAAAACGTGCGCATTTGGCTCCGGCAAGGCTAATGGCACAGGGGAGGAGAACCAGGAGCTGTGTCCGGCGGTGACAGAGGAAGACGACGAGGAGATGGGAGAGGGGAAGGGTGCAGCTGGAAGTGGAGGGATGGGAGTTAAGGCCGCCTGCCTGAACCCCGGAAAGCCAACTCTGCAGAATACCCAGGGCCATCTTATGGTGAGTGGGAGTGTGTGTGTGTGTGCGCGCGCGCGCGCGCGCGTGTGCGTGCGTGCGTGCGTGCGCGCGCGCGCGCGTGTGTGTGCGTGCGTGCGTGCGTGCGTGGTGTGTGCGTGCGTGCTTTTGGTGGGCTAATGCCTTTGGGAGATGTGCTTGTTTGATGGGTCTTTTGATTTCAGTGCATTGACTTTTGAGCTGCAATATGCTTTCATGGGGTGTGCGCATTTGGTGTGGCCACTTGTGAGTTGTTTGTTCAGTCGTGCCATCTGCCAAGCATATTGTGTCAATCACACTGTCAGCATGATTCTTGTTAAGTTCCTGTTTTTTTCCGGCTACTATCATGTGCAGAAATTGAGCCTCTTTGGATACCACCTCAAACCCGCCGACGAGGAGCATGCGGGCGAAGGCAATTATATTCTGGCAACTAGAATTGACTTCGTGTGCTCTGTTCTCTTCTTTACTGGCTACACTCTCACTGCCATTCTTCTCTACACTCTTTAGATGCGCATCCAGCTGGCTGCTACCGGTAGTTTTCTATTTGATCGTGTCAAGCTCCTGGCTAACACTGATGTGTCAAGCAAAATGCCGATATGGATTGATCAGTGTTATTGGCAAGTTTGAATGATCGAGGTTAATAATATGTAATGGGTTTTGGATTATCATTTTTGAAAGTGTAACACTTGTTAAAAAATTTTGTATTGTGAAAGCGACGACGTGCCCAACTCAACAAAGGTAGCGACTCAACGCTACTCACCCCTCTTGTGCCTACAAATGAGGAATGTAACTTCAATTGCTTCACCCACATTCTTCATTTCTACTTTTGTTTTACTTTCTTCATTCTTCATTCTTCCATTCTTTATTCTTCATCCTCACACACACACCCCAATGTGTATCATTGGATGAGAATGTTGTAATGGTCATTTGGAATGAAGCACGCTTCAGTTCCAAGATGGACTAAGCAAGCGTTCACACTAAAACAAAAACAAAAAACAATCTTAGCAATGACCCCACTCTAGGCCTGTATGCTAGCACCCACAGCAGGCCAGAAGACAAATGAGCTCCTTGTAAGCAGGGAGCAACACAGTAGCATACAAGAGCGTGTGCTTCCGAGACAAGACTTGCGCTCAAAAAGCTCTACAGGAGATGGAGAGCAAGCAGAGCGGCAGAGGTCGCGAAGGCAACAGCAGCTGACAGTGCTGCTTCCATGGGGGAGAGGGAGTGGGTGGCCCCTTTGGAAACAGGCGCAGGTGGTGGAGGAGAGGGTGGCGGCAGCAGGGGCTCCGGTCCACCTGCTCAGATGAAAGGGAATGCGAGGAGAGGAGCGGAGCGGAGAGGAGGGAGAGGAGAGGAGTGGAGGGAGTCAGAGGAGAGGAGAGGGGAGGAAAGGAGAGGAGGAGATGAGAGGAGTATGATAAGAGAGAAGAGGAGATGGGAAGGGAGGTGGGGAGAGTAGAGGCGCGGGGAGGAGAGAAAGGTTGAGGGGAAGGGATGGGAGGAGGGAAGAAAGGAGTGAAGAGCCAGAAAGGGGTGTGCAGCGAGTGTGGGGACAGAGAGGAAGAAGTGCTGGTTTTTGAGAATTCTCAAAAACCAGCTCGTATCATATGATCTCCCTTTTCCTCGTTTTTTACTCGCTTGGAAGTTACCAAAAAAGTTACAGAACTTTTTGGTTAAAGCGAGATTCTCCTCAAGAAAGCAATGTGATTCAATTTCTCTGCCAGGTAGGTAACCGCTGCATGACAAGACGGAACTTACTTGCCAGCTTTACTGTTTGGAAGCGCGACCCTTCAAGACGGACGAAGCGCGACCCATCAAGACAGACGAGGCGCCAAGCAATGTTGTGTGCAATGTCCGAATCTTTGTGCTAGGTTTCTTACGAGACACGGAACTGCTAGGTACAAGTAGTGGATGTTAGGTAGAGGGCAAGTTTAGTAGGATTCGGAAACGCCGATGAAGGCCCAAAAGGCCGAAACGCGCGTTCGATTTCTGAACCTCTTGTAATCTGCCTTTAATACACTGCGTTTACCTACACGTGTCTCGCTTAGTACTTAGTGATTTTTACTACTCAAGATTAGTTAGGTCGGTCGAACCGAGCTTGCAGCTTTCTACCCGTTTTTCTAGTTTGAGAGCATCGTTCTTATTCGGAGATTAGCCGAGCTCGAAGTTCATGTCCGACGATCGTTTAGATTTGAAGCGATCTTCAGCGCTCAGGTCGCCGGAGGTCGTCGCAATTCAGAAGAATACGTTACCGTTACACGCTGATAAAAAAGTTACCGTGATTGGACCACAATTTCCAGGATTAACTTCTGCAAGATCACTGTTTTCACAAGTTTCGTTACCTCCTGCGATAGCTAACTACGCTCGAGACGATTACGAGCTTAGCAGGCTCTCCGTACGCAGATCTACAGTGGATCGCGCGGTATCGACAGGAACGGGATCTGGAGCCGGACCTACAGTTGGAGCCGGACCTTCGATAGGAAATTGTACGAAACAGACGAAAGGATCGTTGACTGTTCAAGAAGTGATCACAGAAGAACGATTTAGCGAAATAGTCCCTGATTCCTACGACGACGCTAGTCCTGTGACATCATCGATGGAAGAAGCAATGGTTCGAGCTGCAGAAGAAGCCGCTAGGACTAGGACTCCAACGCACGGGAATGAAGCTACGGCTACGATTACGGCGCAGGAACAGGCCGCTTTAGCTGCACAGGCGCAGGCTCAGGCTCAGGCTCAGGCACAGGCGCAAGCGCATGCGCAGGCTCAGGCGCAGACTCAGGCGCAGGCTCAAGCTCAGGCTCAAGCACAGGCGCAGGCTATGGCTCAAGCAACACTATCCGCGCATCTAGCGTTTCAACAGTCCAACTCCGCAACTGCTGGAGATCCACAATCCTCCGCGACAGAGATAGTTGGGCTGTTAGCTTCTGCGTTAAAGACTTACATGACAGCACATCCGAATCTGGCAACAGGATCTAGTGCTGGAAGCTCTTCTGGAATATCCTTTGGCGGTCAAGAGAAAATTCCAGATGTTTTTCTGCAACAGCTTCAGACATGCAGCAAGCTTTATAGAGAAGCTGTCATCAGGAAGCTGAAACTGTCATTCAAGATTACGAAGCTGAAGGCAAAGTTTGCTGAAGGGAAATTCCCTAGAAGCTTCAAGTCTGCTCCAATGACATATAATACTGCCGATGCAGAACTGAAGCTGGAAGGAGATGCTGACTTTAGAGAGTTGGAGAAGGCGTATCACACGAAATTTTTTGAGAAGCTGATCCAGCTGCAGGAGACAGAACTTGTGAAGCTCTCTCAAAGCATTGACCGAGCGCTGGAAGATTTCCGCCTGAAATTGCAGAAGACGGGGGAGATGGGTCCGGCAGCGGTTTTTAAGGATAGTTTCAAGGAGTGGGAGCAGCAGCTTCTGACTCAATTTGAGAAAGAGATAAAAACCATCCCTGTCGAAGAGACCTTCTCTTTTGCCAAGCTTCAGGAGACAGCGCAACGGGAGATTCAGAGGAAGCAGACTGCAAAGCAAGTAGCAGAAGAGATGGAGACAGAGCCTACTGTTATGGAGATTCTTAATAAGACTACCATAAAAAGGCTAGAAGCGATTGAGAAGGAAGTCTCTGCCATCAAAGGTGAAGGCTCTAAGGCGTTGCAACAGAAGCAGCAGCCACAGAAACAGTCACAGCAGCAACCGCAACAGCAGCAGCAGAAGCAACAGCAGCAGCCTCAGCAACAGCAGCAGCAGCAGCAGCAGCAGAGGCAGCAGCAGCAGCAGCAGCAGCAGCAGCACAAGAATTCAACAGGGCAGCAGAACCGCCAACAGCCAGGGCAGAGGACATACCAGCCAAGGCATACCCCTTACTCCAACCCTTCTAACTGGAACCAGCAGTGGGAACCAAATCATTGGGATTCACAAGCGGGCCCTTCTTCCCAACCCTTCAATTCTTGGCAGCAGCAGCAGCCATTCGAAAACTCTTTTGGTCCAAAAAACGACTGGGGAAGGGGAATGGGGAGGGGAGGGGCAGGGGAAGAGAAAGAGGAGGAGGAGGCGGAAGATTCCGAGGAAGAGGCAACCCATGGGGGAGAGGTTAAGTGCGCTAAGTGACCGTGACTTAGCCCTTTATTACTTTGGGCAGATGACAGAGTTACAACTGAGAAGACGTGTTTCCAATAAGCGCATTTTCAATCTGAGCTCACGGAAGCTGACACCTGAAGAAGAAAAGGTGTTGAGCTTGGGACTTAATTTTGTCCCGGTCCCAAGTAGGAGACAGTTTACCTCGGATCAAGAGATGGTACAGGAGTTTGACCGATTCTGCCGGCGATTACGGTTGAAGAATTTCTTTGGGGAAGATACAGCTGAGCGAAAAACGTTTAGAATTCCCAACTCCTCGTGGGATGTTCCACAGCAGCAGCGTAATGTGAGGCTGGAGGAGGTGATGGACAGAAACAGAGGGGGTCTTCAACAGATTCTGCTTGAAGTACAGCCCAGGAGACTGTCAAACTTGCCTTTCAAATTGAGACAAGCCTTGAAAGGGTTGACAGCAGACTCATCCATTGTGATAAAAGCAGTAGACAAAAATGTTGGCATTACCATCATGGATGCTACAGACTACAGAGCTGAGTGTCTTAGACAGCTACAGGACACGTCGACTTACCGTGAAGTGAAGGGGATTCCCATGACAGAAATTTTGTCAAAGTTTTCTTTGGTTAAGCACGAGTTCTCTCCTTGCTTATCCAAGAGAACATGGGAATATCTAGTGTCTCCACCGGTGGGAGGATGGAAACCAGCTTTCTTTTACATACTGATGAAGATGCATAAGTGAGTACCGGTGGGTAGACCAATTGCAGCATCTCATTCCTGGGTGACCACTACAGCATCCAAGTGGTTAGACTCGCAGCTGCGACCGTTACTGGAAAAACGGAGGACATACCTGAAGGATAGCTTGTCTCTTCTCATGAAGATTGAAGATATGGTTCTACTTCAGGACATCTTCATTTGTACATATGATGTGCAGAGTTTATATCCCTCCATTCCATTACCTCAAGGGATTGAAGCAGTGGATCGTTTTCTTTTCAGAGAGAATCATCCATTACGGCCTCTTATTGTTAGACTTCTTAGATGGGTGATGTTTCATTCATTTGTACAGTTTGATGGAGTAGTTTACCAACAGGTACAAGGTACAGCCATGGGGACTCCTGTTGCCCCCGTCTTCGCCACCCTGTTTATGAGTTGGCTGGACGAGGAGGTGGATAGAAGAGCTCTCCATAGGCCTCTGGTACATTTGAGGTATATTGATGATGGCTTGATTTTGTGGGATAGGGGTAAAAAGAGTCTCCAACAATACTTAGAGATTTTCAATACTCTTCATCACACTATCAAACTGACTTGGGAAATCAGTGAAAATTCACTTGGCTTTCTTGACCTCACTCTTTACAAAGGAGAGAGGTTCAAAGTCAGTAACATTCTGGATGTGAGGACTTATCAAAAGCCCCATAACCAGTATCTC